AAGGTCCCGGCCCCGCGGTTAGGGGGAGCTGGGACCGGCCCTGGATCCAGCAGGAAAGGCCCCGGGTCCATGCTAGAGGGAGCTGGGACCCGCCCTACGTGCACCGGGAAGGTCCTGGGCCCGCGGCGAGGAGGAGCCGGGACCTGCCCTAAATCCACTAGGGAAGATCTCGGATGCAGTAGTTAGGGATCGGCCCTAGATCCAGCAGGAAAGGCCCCGGACCAGGGTTAGGGGGAGCTTGGACGTGCCCTAGACGCACCAGGGACGGTCCCGGCCCCGTGGTTAGAGGGAGCTGGGACCTGCCCTAGACCCACTAGGGAAGATCTGGGCTCCGGTGGTGAGGAGCAGCTGGGACCTGCCCTAGCTCCGGCAGGAAAGGTCCCGGATCCGTGGCTGGAAGGAGCAGGGACCTGCGCTGGACCCCGCGGAGGAAGGGAAGGTCCCGGCGGGCGCGGGGCCGGGCTGGAGAGCAGGGCCGCGGGCAGGGGGCTGGGGCTGCCCCGCGCTCTTTGGGGACCTGTTTCCCCGTTCACTGCGGAGATCAGATGTTAAAAAGGGGAAAAAAAAGAAAACCAAGGAAGTCAGGAAATTCTTATCAGGCTGACAGCATTTTTAGGCTATGCAGTGCGTGGGTGAAGTGGGACTAATATTGACTTGGCCCTCGTGTAGTCATCTGAGAATACATTTTTGGGTTGTTGCTGCATTCCAGAAGGTTTTATCATTATTCTCCGGGAAGCTGGTTTTCTCCGTACATGGGAAGTGACCCCTAATATCGCTTTGCCTGGGAGACGCAAACGCGGGCTGAAGCATTAAAGTCCCTTCTGCGTGTTATTGTTTTGCCTTTATTTATTGCTGAGAGAGGGAGAGGCAGGGAGGGCTTTAGCAGACAGGGACAGGAGCTGAGTTCTCCAGGGTGCACAAGAGACAGCTTCTGCTGGAAGGGGACAAGAGCTGATTTTTTCCTCAGGTTGCCAGAGAGAGAGAGAGAGAGAGAGAGGTTTTGCAGAAAGGAGATGAGCTGACTTCTTCAGGTTGTTCAAGAGAGACAGTGAGCTTTTGATGAAGGAGCTGACTTTTCCAAGTTGTGGAGACGAGCTGACTTCTCCAGGCTGATCGAGACAGAGAGAACTGGCAGGAAGGAGACAAGAGCTGACTTCTCCAGGTTGCTCGAGAGAGAGAAAGCTTTTATAGAAAGGAAACCAGGTGACTTTTCCAGGCTGCTCAAGAGAGAGAAAACTGGCAGGAAAGAGACAAGAGCTAACTTCTCCAGGGTGTCCGTGGGCAAATTGAGTGCTTTTCTAGCCCTTGAAACATACTTTTAAACAAATAGCTTTTGACTCTAGGTCCCAGCTTGTGGAATGGCACTTGTCTGGTAGTTTTAGCTTTCGTGTTGCAGCTCAATGCCTCAGCCTCCTGGCTACTACACTGATGCTGCCTTGTTGGGTTGTATTAGGTTACCAAGTTATATTGAAAAGGTAAATGCTTCCGTTGAGGAGGAAACTTGATGTAAAACAGGGTTTGCAAATGAGGATTTGTGTGTTGGGTTTTATTTTATTTTTGAACAGCTTCACTGTGGAGGTGAGCCAGTAGTAGTTGTAGCTGTGATGGTCCAGGAATGATGGGAAAGGCAAGGATTTCTTTGAGTGGTATCTTTCACTGGATCAGCTGCATAGCTGGGAGAGAGTTAGGCAAGATGTTCTTCCGAATGAAAGACGTTCTTTTTCAGGTCTGGCGAGTGAATACATTCTTAGACTGTGGATATAACATGCAGCATACCTAGTGTATAGAATAGCTTTAATTAAACTGCAGCTTAATGTAATTATCTTTGTTACAGAAAATAGTATCATTGTCTCCAAATGACAGAGACTAAAATCTCTTTTCAGTGTCAAATCCCAGTGTGATATTCAGTCATCTATATATTGAACAAATTATGAACTGTCCCAAAAGCATCACACTGAATTTTTTTTTTACTAGTCGTGTTTTTAATGCACAGAATTATTGCTGGTCTATTTTTCTTTTTATTTCATTTTTTACCTTGACACAGAGACATGGCCTAGGCAAAATTAGAGAGCAAAGAATTGAACTGATACATTTTATAGGTTACTGTGAGTACATTCTAGGCTGTTATTGCAAAAGGACCCATCAAGTACTTGTTGTTGTCGTTTTTTTTTTTTTATCAGTTATTTCCACTTGCCCTGTCTTTCCTCATATAATTTAGTTATAAAGTGTTGCTGTTACAGTTATTTATGAACTGCTCAAAGTCAGCATACAGGACTGGCTTACATCTGTAAGCTCACTGAATTGTCTTTGCTGCACCCTCTAATTCTAACAGTTGGAAATTTAGGCACAGTTTATAACTGTCTATAAAGAAACATAGTTTAAAAAAAAAAGTAACATAAAATAGATCCTCTTCCATCTGTACAGGCTTAATAGAAAAAAATTGCTGTTCAGATGGTGTTCCACATTATTCAAGTCACCCTGTTTTCTTTAAAATCAGTCTGCCAGTAATATTTACCCAATCAAGTAATTTGATTACTTGACCCACTCTATAATGCTTTGTAATATTCAGCCTAAAAAAAGAGAAAATTCTCTTAACTGTTGCCAGGTTTTTATTCCTTCTCATGCATGCATTTGTCATAAAATGTTCTAAAATGGTAACTAGGATGATCGTTTTGGAACTCTCTTCTTTGCCAGAATTAAAACAATGGCTTTAAAAAAAAAAATAATCATGGAGAAAAATGAGTTAATTGTATGTCTTAAAAAAACCCAAATTTTATATAAGAGCTGATACAGTGCAGCTCATCCTTAACATTTCCAAGGACTCAGCCCAGCTGCTATTTTACAAAGTCAGTGTACCACTGGTGTCGTGATTTGGGAGTCATTACAAAATCAGCTACCTGACAAAAGAGGACTGATCTTTATTTGATTCTTTTGCACGTCTGAGTTTCATACTCAACCCAGATCTTTGATGGTATGTCCTCCTTGTTGAAGTTAAAATGCTATTACCCAATATATCTTTGTTGAAAATATGCATGTTTCTATGTACATAAATTTTTATGGTGCCTCTTGTGATTACAATTGAATTCTTTCTTTAATAGAGCCATATCTTCAGCTCATGGAAGGATACCACCTTGCATGAACTAAAGGTCTAGTCCCTTCTGTTTATCTGTTTGGACTCCTTTGATCTGTTTGGCAACTTTTAATTACTTTTACTGGTACTGTATATTTGTATTAGAAAATATTCCTTTAGCATGCAACTAGGCATCTTCACAGCAGCCCAACTTTGTGTAGAAGGGATTATGAAAATAAACTTTGAGTTAGTCTGAGGTAAGAATACAGTGGCATCTTGGTCTGAGTAACAGATACTCACTCATTGCATGCAGAATGAGTTTCTGGATACATTTTTAGTAAGTGATTCATTTTTAAAATATTTTTTTAAGGAGTAACCTCTCTTCCCTTACATTCTTGGTATCTGTAACACTTAGCCCCTGCATTCTTTAATTGCCTAACATCATTGCAGAAGTTGTAAAGTCTTGGGTTTTTACAAATCCATAGCCAAGAAATCTTTTGGGGATTCCTTCAGTTGATAAGTGCCAGTGAATGCTGGGGACTAGTCATAGAAGGCCCCTTCCAGTCCCTGGTTCCTATCTTCCTAAATCACTTGCTAGCAAATGACTTCAGGGTGGGATTTTTAAATATGTTTAAGTGGCGGAGAACTCCATTTCTATTCAGTGTTAATGGGAGATGAGCCCTACCACCATTGGATGTCTTTTGGAACTCTGCCCTTAGATCTTTTGGGATGCTGTAGTCTGTAGCAACTTTCCAAGGAAATAAATGAGGCATGCTTGCATGCACACACACATCCACATACTCATAAGCACGCAGTGCTAGACAGGACAGATGAAAATGAGTTACAACCCTTGGATTATACATCTAGCTATATGTTGAATTTTTCTTCTTTTTCCTGCCAAAGTATATACCACATAAAAGTACACATTTATAATCTATGTTTGTTAATACAATACTATAGAGAGATTATTTTCAGCTCTCAGACTGGTGAAATTAGAATGAAGTGTTTGGCATCTATATACCATGTTCTGGGTTTGCCATGGGATGTATGCGACACTGATGTAACAGAGCTTCCAATGCAAGAGTCCCTGAGAGAAGGTGATCATTGTAGAATCCTTGCATCTTTTCAAAGCAAACTAAGAGCAATAACAGAGTATTCTGTCCAATGAAAAGGCAAGTTAGGATTCATCCTGGCTCACTTGAACCTTTTTTTCCCCCAAAAGAATGGGGAACCAAGCCT